TATGTGTAAAGAATGAGATAAAACGAATGACGATTGTTGAGGACGCTTCCAAAATCTGGGAAAAGAATCCACGTGACCGTTGATCAATTATTAATCGTAATAAACACAACATTTTTAATAATAAACCTCAATTCAAAACTCAAACCTTCATCTATTAGAACTGTGTAAACTTTCAACTTGTTTAAAAGGACGATCCACACCCACAATGTTCAAAACGGAAACATCAGTGTTTGACAAAATTACATCTCTTGTATTATTAAAAGCTTTTGTCCTTCAACACCGTGGTGGGTATTGTGCAGATTCCGTCACCGTGTGGATCAACCTTCTTCTTGGGCGTGAAAATGTCCGCATGAACAGTAACTCACCAATCAAAATACTGCACGTGCACCACATGCTTCACAGTGATCTTGGCGAAAAACTGTCTCTAATCCTGTTTTTCGCGTCGCGTCATGAGAGCAGTTCTGATCGGCTGCCCCGATGATTTCCCAGGTCAGAGCCGAAAGCGGAAGCGAGCGAGGAGAGGGAGGTGGTCGGACGAGTGACGCGGGTTGGGCAGGCAGTTGACTTCCTCCAGCTCGGACTGGCCGACCAGCGACAGTCTGCCCAGCAGCTCGAGGCCTCGGACACCGGGACACGAAGGGGAGGCGGAGAATTCTTCCAAGGACGGAAAGAAACGGGGACAGAAATGAGGAGAAATGCAACCTGACTATTGTCTGAGTAAAAACCACGAAACTGAAGAGAATCTGAATCTGAGACGGACTCGTCTTGTGTTGTTGATTAATTCTATTCGGCGTTTTGCTGCTATGACGTCGACTTTAAACGCTGATGCTCTTGAGTAGAAAATATAAAGTTTCTTATTTGCAGGAAAATAAAAAATGATTCAGGACAGAACAGGTGTGTGTGTGTGTGTGTGTGTGTGTGTGTACCGGGGGTGAACAGGATGTAATCCACAGTTATGGCGGTGCGGGAGTGACAGGTGGTGATCTCAGGTCTCCCATCATGCATCAGGCGGTGCTGATAAGAAGACTTCAGATTCAGGCTGTGCTCGATCTTCGCTCTAAAGACACACACACACACACACACACACACACGTTTCATATTGAGTTAACACACTTAACAGCCGTTGTCATTTGAGACAAACTGACACGTGAACCTGTGAGTGATGTCACACGTTACCTGTTAAAAGCAGAAGCAGCAGTTTTGTTGACGAGATCTTCGACGGTCAGATTAGAGATGGCTCCTTCCACGGCTGAGACAGACACGGAGGTGAAGCTCAACAACGCACTTGATTTAAACTACAACTTAAACTCACATCAACTGAACTTAACTAAGAAATAAATGAATAAAACTAAACCAAATAAACTCAACATAAAAACAAAGTCAACTAAACCTAATTAACTGAAAACTAGATTCAAACAATCTGAACTTAGCCAAACTCAACTGAACTGAACTAAACTAAACCGAACTAGCAGCAGGGTGAGTTTACCTGAAGGACTGGTTCTGTCGGAGCAGGACTCAGCTGAGAGTTTGTTCTCGTACTGACACTTGAGGTTGATTCCTAAACTGTGAGACCAGATCGGAGACGTGAGGAGACGCTGACCTCTGGGAATGTTCTCCTGACCAGACACCTAGACACACACACACACACACACACACACACACAAATTATTATTGTTTAGATCTAATCAAGAGTCACATTATTTTTCAAATAATTGACCAATTGTTTTGTTTATTAAAAGTGTGTGTGTGTGTGTGTGTGTGTGTGTGTCACACCATGCCGATCTGCAGTCCTCTGTAGTCCAGGCCGCCTGTGGTCAGGAAGCTGTAGAGCGGACTCCAGGGTGTTGAGTTGAAATCTCCGCAGAGCAGCACCGGATTGGTTGAGCCATCTGGGAGGCGGGACAGCCGGCTGATCTCGGCCAACAGGATGGCGAGCTGAGCCAGCTTGATGTCACCGCGGCGCGGGTTGTACAGGAGGTGGGTGTTGGCCACACAGATGAAACCAGAGGGATCGGACTTGCAGACGACATTGTTGGGTCGCAGGAGCACAACCAATCCCACGTTGTCCCTGTCGAGGAGGGCGTCGCTGGGGCGGAAAAACTCAACGGGATGGGAGGAGACGAGGGAGAGGCGGGATGATTTGAAGATGACGGCACATCCATCTGGTTTACTTCCTGTCCGCTTCTTATACTCACACTGGTAACCTGATTCACACGGAGGAGTCTATAAGAGCACACACCGGTGCACAACAACAGGCTGTACGTAAAAGATGGACGACATGAAGTCAAAACATTGGATCGCCCCCTGGTGGCTGGCTGCAAGCAGGTCACAAACAGCACCCCCTCCATGTTAGTGGATTGGACATAGACCTTGATTGACAGCAGGACCTTTATACCGCAGCTCCGACTCCACAATATTTTAGCTTCATTTCTTTTAAAACGACAGGAAGTGGTGAAGCGTCGTCCATCTTTATTTACAGTCTATATGCATGCGCCTGATTTATTATTTCACACAATATATTTGTATATTCTTCTAGAAGGTTCATTTATTCACTGAAAAGTTGAACATGAGTTTTAGAGGACACACACACACACACACACACAGTACCTAGCCTCTGCAGCGCAGGTTTAATCTGGTTCTCATAGTGATCCTCCTGGACTTCTTGCAGACACAGAATCTAAAGAAAAGAAAAATCAAAAGTTTCCATCAAACTCTTGAATCCAGGTTGTGTGTGTGTGATGTTCAGGTTCTCATCTCATGTGGAGAGGACCAGTGAAGTGTGATCGGATCCACTCACGTCAGCGTCGTGCTGCTGAATCTCTGCCAGCAGGTTGGGCAGCCGGTACTCCCAGGGCAGGACGCCAGGGTCACAGTGTCTGTACAGGTAGACGTTGTCCTGCAGCAGCTCCTGAGACAGGATGTTGTAGCTCATCACTGAGAAGTCAAAGACTGTGCTGTCCCCTGGTGGTTGAGGGAACGTCCTGCAGGCGGGAGAGGTCTCCCAGTGTCTCTGAAGAGCTGAAGAAAGGGAGCAGTGAAGGATTAACACAAGAGTTTATAGATTTGATCTCAGATCAGGAGGCTTATGTCCGAGTCACTGACTAGAATTTGATGAATAACAAAAATCAAAAGCTCCGGCTCTATATTCATAATCCCGCTCAACTGTTTCCAGTCTAACTGTTAAACAAAGGCTCTTAAACTTGTACTTAAACAGAACAAGCCCAGAATAATCAGTGAATCATATTTCAGTCAAAGGCTTCCTCAAAGAATGAACATACATGTCACCGGTGTGGCTGCGTCCTGGTGTCCGACAGGCGGAGATGTTCCGGGTGGAGGAGGTTGAGTGTGATCTCTACTTCCCTGCCCTGGGTTTGGGGGACGAGTGTTGCTGCAAGGCTGAGAATGAAGCGTCTTCCAAGGACCTCCGCCTCCACCTCTGTCCCGTAGCTGATCCTCTGGTGCTTTTGTTCTCCTGTGAGGAACTCCCTGCTCCTCTGCACCTCTCTCTTTGAACCAGGGGTTGGGTTTGGGTTTGTGTGTGGGAACTTCACCATGTTGAGGTTTAGTTTTGGGTGTTTGAGTTCTGGAAGCTGCAGGTCGAGAATCTTTGTGTCCTTCTTGATGATGTTTGTTCCTTTGTTGGTTCACGGTTCCATCTGGACCGGTGCGATCTCTATTCCCAGTTTTATTCTTTTCCACATCTTTATCTCTGCTGTTTTCCCGGCTCACACCCCTTCCACCTCCATTCTTCCCTTTGTCCCGACCTCCCTCTCTAAAGTGATGGTTCGGTCGAGGGCTGCTCTCCACCCTGGGATCCGGGTGATGTCGCTCCCTCTTTGCGTTTCCATCATTATCCTTCCCTCCGGTTGCCCCTGCTCCTCCTCTGTGTCCTCCTCTTTCATCATAGCGCCGCTTCTCCTCTTCACTCTTCCTCCGTTTATGAGGAGGCTCTCGATCTCTGTCAGCCCGCTCCATCAGGAGGCCTGCAGAGGTGTAGAAGGAACGCCAACTACCGCTGGCGTTGATGTGATGAGGAGGAAATGTCCTGCCAGTGAAAACCTGAGGGGCCGTTGGGTGGGTGAGGGGGGGTCTCGGAAGCCAGGGTGGAAATCCTCGCACTGACCACCATGGAGGAGGAGTCGGGATAACTTGTGGGGGGGAGGTGAAGGAGGCGCTGCTGAGAGGAGGGTAGTAAGCGTGGGGAAGGAAGGAGGAGCTGAAGGAGCTCACCCGGCGAAGAAACATGGGGTGGCTTAGGGGGGAGGAAAACAGGAGTTAAGAAAAAAACACATCCAAAGTAACTTTGGGGAGAATTTGAATTTAACTTATACTGTTTATAATCACTCACAATGTGTGAAAAGCAACATGACGTTAAAAAGAGTGGTAGAATTATAATGAACACTCAGTAATAATGAAGTCTCTCTGTGTTAATTTCATATTTATAAACTTTCACCAAGATTTGCATTAATTTAACATGAAATTTCAGTAGAAATGAGAAGGAGACGACTTCAAGAACAAAACCTGAGTGAAATAAAAGGACGGATTTCTTAATAATTACCAAAACAAAAGGAGAAGAATCATGTTTTTTATATTAATTCTGTTCTAGACATCTGGTTGTAGGTTTGAATGATCATTATTACAACTTCCTGGCTTTTCTCTGTGTTCCTTCTTATTCACTGAGCTGATTTTAGAGAACTTTTATTCAGACTTGTTTTCAATTAACACTGAACTTTACCAGAAACAATTCAAAGAACCCTAAAACCTGCGTCACGTGGAAAAGATATCGCGCAAAGATCGTGAGTTTATTAAATCTCAGCAGGTTTTCGTGGAACGTGAATCTTATTTTAAACCTCAGCGGACACGGACTCACTTCTCCCTGCAGGCCGAAGACTCGTCATTGGACTTCCGGTCTGGAAACATGTTGATCAAAGTCACAAATCAACATGTTGACGAGTTTTATTTTCGACTCGGATCAAAGACAAACCGCTGGTCGGGAGTCCCTCTGTGATGACGTCACACTGTGCGCCGAGGAGAGCTGTGCTGCCTTCAAGCTCCTCGGAAACTTCGCGTTCGTCATGTACAGTCACAAAAATACTCCGAGTGAGAGAGTAACACCTCCATCTAGAGTAGAGTTCTAGTATTTTTATAAAAACAGGAACACTTTTCTCCGCTCTGCCGCCAAACAGCGAAACAGAAATGCGCATTGCGGTCACAGTTCATTTAAAGCGTGAAGTAAACAGATAAAACGATTAAATGAGATTAATTTGACGACAATTTAGTGAAAACCAAAATAAAATAACGATTTTATTCGTTCTTCATTCATCAAGTTGAACAAAAGTCAGTTTTTACACGTTTATTCTTCTATAACCTTGAATGTTTTACCAAATCCTACGTTTTCAGAGATAACATGGTTCGCCCCTACTTCCGCCTCTGTAGCTGGGATTTGTAGTCTTTTCTCTGTTGGCGGATATGAGACGAACGGGAGAACGGACTACAGCCACGTCGGTGCTGCGTTAACACTGGTCCGTCCGGAAACGTGGCTCAGGGCTGAATTATTATAATTATTATTTTTTTAATCGTGATATTTCTGAAACGTCACCGTTTCTCCTGCGTGTTAAAATCTTACGGACGAGATTCTGGTCGTGAATCAGGTTGGACGTGAAAATGAGCAGGAACACGATCTGTGGGGATTTGTCTCGTTTCCTCAGGAGCGAGATGAGAAGATGAGAATACTCACGAGAAGACGAGTCTCCTGCAGGAGAACAAGGTCAGAGGACGATCAGCTGCTGGTGAGAGAGAGTCGATGCAAGTCAGAGAGAAGAAGAGTTCATGATGAAAGATGATGATGAAGAAACAAGGAGGAGACACATCCTCCTCCTCCGAGAGAGAGAGAGAGAGAGAGGAGGGAGGGAGGGAGAGAGAGAGCTTAAACAGACCCTCCCTCACCTTGTGTATTAAAGTATTAAATGTTTTCTCTCTTCAGCTCTAAAATGTGACATAACATTAATTTATTGCGACAGAGAAACAGAACAGCTCCTGTATCTGTGTCATTAACAGTAGGACAATAACAATAACTACCATTACTACTAATGATAATAATAATTAACTCAGCGCACTGCAATATAAGCAAACACATGCATATAGAGAAAACACGAGTAAATTAAAGAAACAACTTCATCAATTCGACGACACGAGCTGTCACACAACACATGTAAATACAGAAACTTGCTGCAAACAGCGACAACGGAAATGTTTCCAGAGGGACCCCGAAAACTGATGAACCTGCTGTAGTTCAAATCTCTGTGTTAAATCCTCACTGACGAGGAGCAGACTTCATTCATTTCCCAAAGTATTTTTTCTTAATTTGCAGAGCGTCGAACCCTCTCGGCCACCGTACACTCACTGCGTATCAAAACCATCCCATCGCAGACACCACAGTGACATCTGGGATCAAACAGCTGTAGTTGAAATGGAAGTGAAAGTAGCATAGTGGTAAATTGAACATGTGGCAACATCATTAGAAATAAGACTAGTGGAAATTATAGACGTAATATTAAAGTATTTGTGTAACAAACGTTGTTGTCTGCAATACTAATACCTCCAAACTAAAACTAACAGCATTAGTGGCAAATAATAAAGTAGCAGCATAATAAAAAATAATTTCAGCCGAGTTTCGTGCAGTATCTGTGTTTGTACCTCAATGTAAACATCACAGCTATTTCAATAAAATAGAGGCAGCCATTACAAAACCTTTATTCAGAGTCAAACATTATATCAAAGCTGTGAAATACACAGAAGATCTGGTTCCAAAATCAGGAATCGATCATCTCAAGATCAAAAAAGTGCTTTTTCATGTCAAATGACTGTCGGAGAAGTTTAGAGAAGTTTCCTTTAACATTTTCAGGTCAGAAATTAACTTCAGTCGTAAAACTTGAAATAATCTCAGGTTTGGTTGATTTTCGATGATTTTCGATTCTAAACCTCGACTGTTTTGTGAATCCTCCAAAGTCGAACAGGAAACGTGACATTGATGAATCTTCATCACGGTGATTGAAAGATTATTGAGTAAAGCTTTTTCTCCCAGTTCGACTGAGTTAATTAAAGGTGTGCGTGAGAAACTAAAATAAACGTGAACTGGTGGAGAAAATTCTCACATGCACGGCAGCACTTCTCATCTGGAGCAGCTGCGACGGAAAACACTGCAGAGGAGATGTGCTGCGTTCATGCTGTTCATCGGGTCGCCTGCAGACTTGACTCCTCTGGTTGTAAACTTCTGGTTCCTCCAGGGTCTCGTCCTCCTTCACGTCTTTCCTTCTCCTTCGTGCTCCTCTCTCCTCCTGCAATCAGATCGGCTGACATGGAAGCCGCTGGAGCCAAAGCTGTTGCAGGGAAATGATCGTCTTCTAAAAATCCCAGGGCCGACATTTCATCTTTTACTCGTTTTGGAAAGCAGAGCAGCACTATGTCGTTTTTAAACCTGCAAATTACAGCGTTGAAGTCATGTTGATGAGACACAAACTTATTCCTCTTTCACATCCAAATTATCAGGTAAATGTAGGTTCTTTGAAATGTGGGTAAACGCACTCAAACAGACGGTTGTTTTCTTTTCCATTGCCGGTACGAGTTCGTCTCGCTGTCTTGCCAAATTAGACAGAAGCTAAAAATGGATGCAGGACAGATGTGGCCCTGGCGCTGTTATTGGACATCAGACCTTCAGCTCGTTTGCTCTGCTTGACGTTGTGTGCTAAGTTTTTGAAGTTTATCAGAAGTAGGTAAACCCATTTCAATAGAGGTTTAACAAGTTAGCCAAACAGTTCCATGCTCGGACATCCATAACTGCGTCCGCTACTTGCTCGCTGTAGTAGCTTGTTAGCTCGTATGCTTCTGTTCCACTCTGAGTTGGACGCAGTGAATCTGCAAATGTTTTAATGCCGGACCCCAAAAACCTCGTGGGTCGACCTGGACCTTTGGCTTCCGTGGTTTCCAGTTTCTTCCCCATCAGCTTGTCTGATATTTGTGAATTACGTATTCCACCTATAGGGGGAGCCTCAGCCTCAAGACTAGGCGAGAGAATCTTGTATTGTTACACTTTAAGTTAATTCTGCAGCAGGTGAATACATTTAGAAAAGCTTTCTTTTCTCAGGTCAGTTTCCAGATTTTTGATTTTGTCAAGCTGTTTGACGGGTCCGAGGTTTGACCGGCTTGATAAACGTGTAAATTTGGACTTTGTGGTGAGCGTCAAGTTGGACGTGTGGCTTTAAGTCGTTAATCTAGTAATTCATAGTTTCAGAGCAGGAGGAGGTGAAACTAATCGTTTGTGCTTTAGTGTCCAGACAAACCCGGTGAGTCAGGTTACTGTAGTAAAGATATTTGACCAAGTAAACTAAAAATTTCAGTTGTGCTTGGTTTTAATTTCCAAAATTCAAACATTTTCATTGCAAAAGATTCCAAGAAACATTCTCTGATTAACTCTTGTTCCTCGAGCAAAGCTTCTGTCCGACTCATATCTTTGACAGTTCCAGGTTTTAAGGTGCACTTGGTTCAACATAAGAACTTTATGGATATAATCTCCAGGCTAAACAAACTTTCCTGATGCGTCTCCTCCTTCGGCAAAGTTTCCATCCAGCACCCATCCTCTGTGAATCAGGATTTCTGACCTGCCGAAGTTCTCTACTCGGTTTCTTCTCATGTTTAACGCTAAAGAGACAAAGCGCTCGTCGACCTTCTGTTCGACTCCCGTCACCGCAGCGACTCGACAGGACGCAGTCATGTACCTTCACTGTCTGAGCAGCAGGTGCGTGAGCTGGAGAATCGGCGTCGGGGCAGATTTTTGCAGGTGAAAGGTMAAAAGGTGAGGAAGGGGGGGCTGGGGGTCAGGAGAAGGGCACTTCCCATCTCTGTGTGTACGCCGTCAGTTCACAGGGGCTGATGACCAGCATCCGCGACGAGTCCATCCCGTCCAGAGCCATCTCCGAGTCCAGACAGAACCGAGACACCAGGTGCTCCAGGTGCGTCCCAGACTTCTGCCACCGCTGCGAAGGACACGACAGTTCGAATGAGAACACGTGCAGCTAAACAACGCGTCAAGCTACCAACATTCAGCTCATTGCATTATTACATCTCACGTCTCACAGCCTTTGGTCCAGTAAAGAAAAGCCGGACTCACACTTTACTCAATTCACACACTTAGGTGCAACAACGCCCGAACAGCCGAGGAATCGAACCACCGACCCGACAATTAACAGCTCATGACACCATGTTCGTGAAAATATTGATTCATGTGGTGATTTTAAATTCTAACAGTGGACTGCTGCAGGTTTCTTACAGGAAACGTGTGTTTGCTACTGATCACCACTAGATGGCAGAGTCATCAGCTGCCTTTTCTGCTGTGAGAGTGTGTGTGTGTGTGTGTGTGTCCAGATATTACTCATGTTGTGGGGACCTAAATCTATTTAAACAGACACATTATGAAGAAAGCAAGTCTCCATAATATAAACATTACGTGTTTGAAGGTTGGGTTTAGTTTAGGTTTAGGACGGAACTATGGTCAAGGTCCGAGTGAGTCTCCAAGTCATGTCCTCTGAAGTCCCAGAGACACGACTGAGAGTGTGAGTGTTCTCTGTGAAGACCTGACAGAGTGAGGACATTTTGGTGATTAGAATAAGGTTTAGGTTTAAAGCAGGAGGCAGTGAATGCATTGTCCTCACTAAAATAGAAGTACAGTGTGTGTGTGTGTGTGTGTGTGTGTGTGTGTGTGTGTGTGCTCGTGCATGATTCATAGCTGGAAAACAAAGCCGCAGATATGATCAGACATGAAAAGAGGCTTTTATCAAACTGTGGGTCTGAAACCCAGTCATCAGAGAGAGGGAGCAGATTGACAGATAAAGGAGGAGAGAGAGGAACAAACACAATCTGTGTGTGTGTGAGTCTGTAATTTCAGCGTGCATGTGTTTGGGTGTGTGTGTGTGTGTGTGTGTGCACGTCGGCAGGGAGCGGCCATGTTGTGTTTGCTCAGCCTCTGAGGCGTGTCGCCGTCATGTTGGTC